GCTAAAACTCATGTTTGGGGATTTATTTTTTATAAATCCAGAGGAAATGTTTGGATTTCCAGGGATTTTCGCTTAAATTTTATTACCAACATTTTCTCTGATGTCTAAGCTTTAAGTTGATACCAGATTTGGCTGCCCGATTCTTCCCGTTATTATGTTAGAGCCGTTTTCCTTGCAACATTGCCCCGAAAAATGTGTTTATTTTGGTCCGCGGTGTCAGAATAAGTGTCACGCGCCCCCTCGCGCCGTGATTTATGACCACGAATCCTTCATGATTCAGCCGCGGACCAAAAAACCCCACATTTTTCGGGGCAATGTGGCAAGGGAAATCGGCTCAAACATAACAATGGACAAGATCGGGCAGCCAAATTTGGTATCAACTTAAAGCTTAGACATCAGAGAAAATGGTGGTATTAAAATTTAAGCGCTACACCGCGGAGATCTAAACATTTCTTTTGGATTTATAAAAAACATGGATAATTAGTCAATTTTTCAGTGAATTACCCTATAATATATCATGAAGATTGTGTTTCTATTAATTTTAACCCATTCATTCAACGAAATGAACTATCAGGAATATGTGAGAGCAATTTTATATCAAAAACTTAAAAACTTCATGTTGAATTGAAAGATTTATAAAATAAGTCACTTTTGCACTAAAACTGTGAATATGTAGGATTTTGCTGTTTGAAGTAGTAAATTTAAACCCTTATTTCCTTTCAACTGGACAAGCAAAAAAATTGGAAAAAAAAATCACCCAAACTTAGTTTTGGCGCACTTTGGTTCCTCCCTGGCCCACTGTGCGGCCCTGCCTGTCACACGCTTTTACCTCTTGGTTGCTTTGATCCATTGCCGAAAATATTTTGGCACCTATCACCCCCCCCCCCCCCCCCTAACCACGGATACAAATCGACAATAGCACAAAGAAAAAATGGCCACCACTCGAAGCTCTGAATCCGTTTTATTTCAGAACACACATGCACATCTATAATTTTAGGGGCGCCTGGGCGGACCCATAAAGAATTGTTATCAATTTATGTAATTATTGGTAAAGTCCACTTTTGGCGCACTTTGACATTTGGGAAGTGAGGGCTAAAATGCCACTTTGGATTTGTTTTAAGTACCTAGCTTGTGTAGTATATATTTTCTTAATGTTATTTTGAAAAAAAATTCGATGGATATGAAACGTAATACAAATATAAAGCCTACGCCAGTAAAGATTTTTTAAATAAAAAATTCAAAAGACGTGATACAATGCAACATGAAAAACACTGCCAAAATGGATCTATTTCTGATAAAATTTAAAAAAAATTAAAAAAAACTGTCGGCGGCCATCTTGAAAAATCGCCCGACTGTCAGGGATTATGTACCGAGCGGCCATTTTGAAAGAAAAAAGAAAAAAAAAGGGCCCTTCCCTTCCTATATTTCGAAAAAACAGGAAACATATTTATTGTATCTCTCTTTCTGTCATATTTACCATCTTTCTCTCTATCTTCTCCTTGTGACTTTTTATTTGTCATATATATATATGTTATCTCTCTTTCTGTCATAATTCTCATGCTCAATTTCTGTTGCTCTCTCTCTCCTTTCCATTTTTTTCCTTCTTTTTCTCAAGTCTTTCGTTTGCCGTTACTCGACCCCTTCCCTTTCTTTGTCACTCTCTCTCTCTCTCTCTCTCTCTCTGCCTCTCTCTCTGCCTCTCTCTCTCTCTCTCTCTCTCTCTCTCTCTCTCTCTCTCTCTCTCTCTCAATCATTTATCTTCCCTTTCTTTCTTTCCCTCTCTCTCTCTACCTACCTACCTAGCTATATATAAGCATAGTTATCTCTCTCTTTCGCTCGCTCATATAATACTGCACACTGTTTTTATTACTCCCTATAAATCAACTTTCTTTTATTATGACATAAACAGATTTAGCGTTAAAAAAACGGCAAAGGGAACATGGATATACTATAAAATATTATGTTCTTTAATCGACAAAATGATCATCAGCAGCAACAATATGTAACTTATATCATAATATTTCTTTTATAAATCGACGTCAGTTATACTTTATTGTAATCAATGCACTTTGCAATATACAATAAAGGAAAAACTAATAATGAATAATAAATGTTTGCTGGAACAATGATTATGACAACGCAATCATTTATTCTATTTTAGATACCCTTAAATTGAGAGCGGATTCCGCTATTTTTATGGTTTATATTACATGCCATTTTATTGCTAAGAAAGCATGTAAAGGCCTGTAAGTAAGTAGCCAGTATGAACAGACTGCTTCAAATCCTCTCTGAGGGAATTAATTAGGATTAATGCCATACCAAAGGGCATCATAGCGAATCAAATTGGTTTCGAACCCGGGTTCTCCCAGTTACTAGACCAGTGTTCTACCACTAAGCCATCTCGCCTTGTGAGTGTGGATTTCCATTCTAAAATAAAGTGATATGACGCCGAAAAGAGTGGATTTCCATTCCTGTTTAAATTATGTAAAGTGCATGTATTACCTCCTGGGTGTATTATTTAAACACCCGAACAAACAATAATAATTATATTTGTGATGTCATATACGGTATTTTATATTTCGACGATCTAATACTCATTGCAATCTGATCAGTGTAAGAATAAATAGAATAATCGACCATTTCAAAAGTTATTAGCCAATGCTGATTTGTAATCGGCTCAATATGAAATAATATATATAATACTTTTGTTTATCTTTCTGTTGGAAATGAAATAAATATGAATTGAAATTGAAAATTGAATTGAAATGAAATAAACAAAATAAACAACAACAAAAACGCTCACAATATATTATAATGTATTGTATTTGAGCAATTTTGAATGCATAGAGGATAGGCTCGTTGAGTTGTCCTCAAAATAATCATCACATAAAAATAACGTAATTACTGAAATTGCGTTGCACACGTGGCGTTTTTAGCATGACGTAGACTTGCGTCAGTAGAGACTTTTACATTTGCGTGGACTGGTACGTGTGACGTCCATTCATGGCAGTGCATTGAAAGGACGTCGATCGTAGCAATCCACGTTGTCGTTGTGCAAATCTAAAATTCCCAAGCAACCAAAATGCGGTCTTTGACGCGCGCCATGTGGAAGCGATAATGTAAAATTAGCGCAACACATTGCGTCAAAGTACGGGAGTGTAGAATAATTTCATTCACAGGCTTATTCCGCGCAGGTAGTAATGCAATTGAAATAACGTCTCGTGTGCAACGAGCATAACACAAAATAATTAAAGGAGGAAATTAGGCAAAGGTAAATATTCCATTGGCACCCAATATACCATACACTGGCTATGACTGTCTAAGAGAAAAACTAAATCACTTGGACCCGCCAAATGAAAAATAAAATGAAGATACATGTATACGTCTACTGAGAGACATAAGAACGTTTACTTAACCACTTTAACAGTGATACACTGTATCCCTCTGGCACTCAGTCAATTAAGGACCATACAATATGTTCGCGTTGACAAAATGCATTTATTGGTCATTACTGACCAATTATAGTTCCTAATGCTTGCAGATCTTGGAATTAAAATAATGACAAAATATATTTCAAGGCGAATCAAAGATATTGAGGGAAAATTAGTCCACAAATTAAAGAAAAAGTGTTCTGAAGGAGCAGTAGTCACACCCTTGTGAAATTCGTACAATCTTTTTGATGAAAACATTATATTATTAAACAGTCGAGAGAAAGTACTTCAATTCTCGTTTTAAACATTTTTCTATATCCACTGGAATTACCGGAAGCCTATTAAACCTAAAACATGCGAAAGATGGTTAACTTCAGCTCCTTAAATTCATATACACTTTCCGAATAAAACCGAAAACGGACCTCATAATATCCATTAAGAAAATTAATTTAAAACAAAAAATTGAAATTTAATGAGTTATTGACTCAATCATTAATGCTCATTAATGTTAAGATATGGGTGCAGGGAGCTTTTCGTTGGCTATAAACCTACCTTAAACAATTTCGCATGCGTGGTTGCATGTAAATTTGTTATCCTCTTATAGGCTAAGAAGCATTACAAAAGGTAAAATCACTTGTAACGATATAGAACTGCGCACCTGGTTATATGGAATTAATCAATTTACTATAGCACATTATTTCAGTGAATGATTTATTCATTGTAAAACATGTAATAGAATGCAACCACCTGTAAAGATACGGATGTGTTTGCGCACATGGTAATATAGAATCAATTGATTTACTAGCATAATTTTATCAGTGATTGGTCAATGATGTTGTAAAATTTAATGGATGTTTTTTTAATTTTATGGATGTGTTTGCGCACCTGGTTATAAAGAATCAATCATATACAATCAATTTATTTATTAGCATAATCAGTGATTGATCAATGTTATTGTAACATTTAATATAATGCAATACGTATAAGATACCATTATTTTGTGTTAACTAAACAGACATTATAAATAACAAAATTCACACAATATACAGAGCACCGTTAGAAAATTCTGTCACTTTTTGGCAGTCAGTATAAGGGCTTCTCTCTCTCTCTCTCTCTCTCTCTCTCTCTCTCTCTCTCTCTCTCTCTCTCCCTCCACCCCCCCCCCCCATGGCTCTTTGTCCTTTTTTCCCTTCCGTTTCTATCTCTCTCTCTCTCTCTCTCTCTCTCTCTCTCTCTCTCATTCTCCCACCTGTTTTTTTAATTTTCTTCTCTCCTTTTCTTCTCTCTTGTAACCTGCCATTCATTATCTCTCTTTCTACTTCATTCTCTTAAACTACCCCGTCCCCCTCTATTGTGTCTGTCTCCCTCCTATACGGACACAAACACACACACACACGCACACACATCTTCTTTTCTCTCTCATCCTTCCTCCCTCCCTTTCTCTCCTCGTCATCTTCTCTATGTGTGTCTGTTTCTCTCTCTCTCTCCCACACACACCCGCACACATCAGACTCAAGATCAGCCCCCCCTCCCCTCCTCCCCATTCTCTCTAACTCTCTATCTCTCTCTCTCTTCCCCCCTCGCTCTCTCTTTCTCTTTCTCTTTCTCTCTCTCTCTCCCTCTCTCTATCTCTTCACAATAGAACCCGCTGTGCCATCTATACCAATGGGTATTATGGCCGCGGATGAAGACATTTTGAAGACGTCAATGTAATAGAACAGAAATCAACCATTGGGATTGGATGGTCGAATTCTCCAGCATTCCACAAGGAGGCGAAACGATTTTGATGATTAGGGCCTTATCAAATTCCCTCTGAAGTCCAAACGCTTCATCATAAATATAAATGTCTAATGGTAAATAAATTATATTAAGATTATTTTTCGAGTGTTTCTCTCTCCAGCGTCTTGCGTCAATCAAATTTGACACGAGGAAATAAATATGCGACGGTGTGGGCACGATGAGGCTTGAATGATCATTAAGGCAATATGGTATGTTTTCATTTTCCTTTGAATCATAATCATCAGAAAATAAATAACATTCTTCAAACCAGCAGAAAGCAGAATCCAGCTGACAGGACATCCACGTGTGAGCAATGTAAAATAACGTCGAAATGTTCCATTTGTTTAGCGCTATGTTTTAAGCTTTTTATGAGGCAGCCGACCAACAATTGGCATTTCTCTTGCAGTTAGTTGCCGCGTGTTTTTCTTCACCTTTTCATGATGTACAGCGTCTTTCTTTTTTGTTTTTTGTTTTTTCGTTCCATTCCCATCTTCAAGTTTCTTATTATTATTTACAACAGAATTCTTCGCATCGAGACTATCTGCATGAATGACAGCTTTAGTTTTATTGGTCTCGTCGTGGCTGCCTGAAAGTTTGATGACAACGTCGGCGTCTTGCAACGGTTTACTTTCGTTCAGCTTCAGCGGCGCCACGGCGACTTTCGGACGCGGTTTCCGTACGCGTCGCCGTATGACTTTGACGCGCCGTACGACTCGTACGTGCGGCGCTGCCTTGCGTATCTGTTCCAGTGTGCCGTTCTTCAGGGCTTCTTTGTAGAGTTGCAGGAATGGTGTTTCCAGTTCGGCGGTGACGTTTCGGATAGTGGCTCGCCAGGAGGGGTAGTGGAAGTGGATGTTGTAGCCGAGCGACCAGCGGGCAAAGACGGCCTTCTCCGTCATGAATTTGTGTCCTTTGTTCATCTGCGTCTCGCTCCATTGGTAGTATTCACACTCTCTTCGAACCCCTGGTTCGTAGTAGTGATATGAAGAAGAGGAGTTTGGGTGCCTCCTGTGTTCGTGGACAACAACGAAAGATGCAAAAATTTGTTTGAATTATTATTATTTTATTTTTGTAAAGGAAGAATCGACGGAAAATACAAACAATTAAATATCTCTGAGTGACAATATCGTTCCCCCCTCTGTACATTTTTTTTTTTTTTTGGGGGGGGGGGGGTGGTCTTTTTTAACACTTCGATTTGGGACATATTGTGACGCTGGCCGGCCCATCTGTATTATAATAACAAATGGTAACATATTTTCCCCTAACATGATCTGTTAATCCTATTCATATTAAATTACATGTACTTATTGCACTTTATACATCAATAAAAGGTGTGGCATAGCATTTCATTATCAGACATTCAAGTGGGCAGAGCGGCCCATGCAGAGACCTCTGAAGGCGGAGGGGATGGGGCTCTCTGGAAGGTCGTGTCACTTCCATCTCAACCCACCCACCCACCCCCCTCTCCCTTTTCCTTTGTCCAAGGTGGGGGGGGGGGGGGGGGGGTCATTTTTCAGCAATTCGATTAGCAGTATATTTGCCCTCATTAGATATAGCTAGGGTATATAGTAACTACAAAATCATCACTATCTGGAAGTCCAAATTTGGGTTATTTTTTCAAGTTTAACCGCTTGCCCTAAAATCTGTCTTTAGGCAACATCAATGCTTGTCCTGACTGTGGGCATATTCAGAGCGATACTGGTATATCACAGGACCATTATAATGTATTGTTGACTTACGAGCAATACTCGACATTTGACAGACCGTACACGTCTATCCTGTTGCAGACATCCAGGGCGAATAACATGGCAACGAAACCAGTACTTAGCCATGTCTTGGCATCAGTTCTGTGAAATCGAAAAAAACAAAAAAAACAGAGAGCAACAATATTTGTTATACTTCGTTTGTAAAGATCATGAATGCAACGTGAATATTCTGTCGCATGATGCCCACTCAGGTTAATGACACGAATATAATGGCAATCACTGGTTTTTATCATTGTTATTATTATTATCATCATGAAATCAAATAAGAATATAACTTAGCGAATAAGGCATAGGTTCTAAAGGGGGTTTAGGGCCCAAGCGCCCCTCCCCTCTTCTATATTTATTTTTGTTTATTATTTTTATTTTTTATTCATTTATTTTTTTAAATTATTATTATTATTTATTAATTAATTAATTTATTTATTTATTTATTTATTTATTATTATTATTTTTTTCTTTTTTTTGGGGGGGGGGGGAGAATAGTGAATCAATTTAATCGGACTTACAAGCTGACACCTGTCTCGATAAGAAACCTGTCCTCGGTTTTATTGATTTTCTCTGGAGTCAAGAAATAGAACTTGACGTGCGGGTACATGGCCGTCATGTTCCTGGCCGCCTGGTAGACCGCATTGTTTGTCTTGTTGATCTTCTCCTGGTAGAGCCAGGGGACGACCACGATGCCGGTCCTAGTCGCAGGTTCGCCCAGGATCTCGTCGATTAACTCCTGGCTCGTCATCAACCCCCTCGCTAGATTCACGTGGCCTAGAGAGATAATGATTGATTGATTGATTGATTGATTGATTGACTGGCTGACTGGGATATTAGACATACAGAACATGGTAACCCGAAGGCTGAATGGAATTCAGCTTACCAAAAATAAGTTTGAAAGCACAGCAATACCAAACAATCCTTTGAAATACATGTAAAAAATTATGACGGCGAATTGGTGTATTAGGGGAAATGTATTCTTGTAGCATGATATTATTAGCATCGGGTATCGAAGAGCGTCCGCCGGACTTTTCGAAATTAAATAAAAATTGGCGACTCCTCTTTTCTGAAAATCTTAGATCTGCCCCTGACATAACGGTGACTATCACGATAGGAAATTCCTCAAGGGAGTATGTGCACACATTAGTGTACAAATCTAATGAACAGGGGATCGGACAAGCTCTGTAATGACCTTATATTGGTGATTAGACGTAATCTTGATCCGGAAAACAAATGCTTGTGTTTGCAGCACCCATGACATATACAGACAATTTATCGTCTCACCTATGACCCGGACGTCGGTGTGGAGGCCGACGTCCTCCTCGTAGCCCCTGACCGTGGCGCTGTTCATCCGAAGGACGCAGTCGGCGTTGTCGATGTCGGCTCCGGCGCCGCTGTTGAGGAGCTGGCCCGAGCTTGATACAAGTGAGCACCGGTTGCAACGGAGGTCGAGCGGCTATATAAAGGTGATTGACAGAAAAATAAATCAAAATGTAATAACCAGAATATAATTAAATGTATACCAATTAAGACAATGATAGAGTATATAACATGTATAGGTCTATTGTTTTTTTTTTAGTTTTTAGTTTATATATTGATAACTGAGGCGTTATCACCACGGAGCGTTACATCACGTACACCCACAACAAAAAGTGAGTCATTTGACACATTTAAGCATAATTTTCGTGAGTCAGGTGTAAATTGACTCATTAGTAACAACCAATGAGTCTCTATTGACTCATTTATATTTCACCAGTGTGTCAATCATGAGCTGACGCATTTGCAAAATGCTTCGACTGACTCACATGGTCGTAAAAAATGAGTCAAGATCGACATAAGAGCATTTTAGAAGAAAAAAGTGAGTCAACTTGAAAGTGAGGCTGTATGCATGCGCGCGCATGCTTTCGTGACGTCATCCAAAATGCGCATTCTCGAGCCATATTTGAATTCCCGATCGACGACGCGACGTCGCCATCTTATATCTTGGATTCAGAAGAGTTTTGACTGCAGCTAGTGAAAAATTGGTACGCATAATTATTCATATGGTTTTAAACGATGATTTTTATGACTGGATTCGTGGGCTGAATCTTCTGATTATTATACAAATGATGCATGCGTTCATTTTACGATATCCGCACTCGAGTTGATGAGGCTGTGTGTAACTTAACTATATATTCTACTGTATCGCACGAAGCCGTGTCGAATGAAAACATGCATGATCTTGCATCATTGTTTTATACAACGAAACTCCTAGATCCTTGTTATTTGATGTAAAACGAATTAATTCAAGATTGTTTTGTGACAGTATGGGTGACAAATAAATCTCAAGTTAAGGCTTAATTTAGTGCGTACAAAGTAGATTTTTCAGATTCGGGTAGCGGGACCACCGATTACATCGCTAAAATGTGATATTTTAGGATATATTTCCATTGCAAATGTGGACAGTGACTCTGGCATGGTATGGTATGTGTGTGATAGGCCTAGGGAGTAGGGGGTCTATGTCATGATGCACCCACAACAAGAAGTGAGTCACCCTTACTCAAATTGATGAGTCACTGGTTTGTCCGTACAGCGAAACACTTGAAGGATCATGTGAGTCACTATGACTCGATACAAATGAGTCTCTTAGATAAATAAGACTCATTTGTATCGAGTCATAGTGACTCACATGATCCTTCAAGTGTTTCGCTGTACGGACAAACCAGTGACTCATCAATTTGAGTAAGGGTGACTCACTTTTTGTTGTGTGTGTACAAGGTTTTAACAGGAGAACGTATTGACATTGAATGGAACTGGTGATGAACTTTAAAGCAGTAGGACTTTTTTTTATAAAGTCACCGTAGTCAACTTATGGATAATATTAATAACTGATAGTAATGTATAGAGGTGAGCTATTCTAGCCGGGAATACAGGGTTTAACCAGGTGTAAGGCTACAACAAACTCTAATTGAATGGCAAAAAAGGTGCCATTAAAGGTAAAGACCAGTTATGGTCATGCGATTGCATTGTGAAAGAAACATTGTGGAATCGATCAGAAAAGGTTGATCATCTAGCATCTAGCATCTGCAAGGTTCTGGAATCATCAAAATGATAAGAAATTTGGCCCATTCTTCGTAAAGTTACAAGCACTATACACAGAAAGATGTATATGGGACTACCCTATATCTCTCACAGTCCATGAGAGAAACAAATTTACCAAATATATGAATTAGTAGGCGGTTTCCCGGCAAATTTTTGATCATCATGTATTAGTCAAAACATATTCTTTCACATGATTGGTAATGAGAGCTTCCATTTCATTTTTTGAAATTGGGGCGTTTCCAATACTGGTCTTTACCTTTAAACGAAGATCGAGAGGGAATCGAGGGGGAGGGAGAAATGCAATGTAAAAAGTGGATGGTAACCGCCCCGCCCCCTCCCTCCCTTCAAGGGAAGCACAAGCTCCCGTGCCACTTGTATTTACGCTACTGTATTATTACTAGCCCACCTTAGACATCTCCCGGTGTTTCCTTACTTTTATTTCGCAAATAGCCAGCGGCGAGTGAAACCATATCATAACGATCAAAAGAAAAACTAGCCCTGTAGTAATAGGAGATGTATGTCAAGTGCAACTCTTTCGACATCTTGGGTATAACAAAAATGTTCTATTTTGAGTGTTGGATCAATAGTAGCTTGGCAATTTCTTGGATACTTCACTCTAGTACTTCACTTTTTAAGTGACATCTCTCTGTCGGTGTCTTTTTGATATTGTGAGAGCTGCAGTCAGCTATAACGTATGTAGTAGCGTAGACAGAGAGGGGGGGGGGGGAGAGAGAAAGACAATGAGGGGGGTCTCCATATAGACGGGAGATGCACCGCGAGAACACGTTTGTAAGAGCACGATTAAGGTCTGTACTTTTGTATTTAAAATGCAATAACATCGCATATCATGTTTGGCTGGGGTGGTGGTAAGTGCCCCTCTGCCCCCCCCCCCCCCCCCCCCGTAAATGAACAAGGGGGAAATCCATATTATATTCCGATTAATTAATAAGTATATGATTTATTATCCATTAATACATTTTAGATAATATGGAACATTATTAAACATAACGTTACTTTCTATTAATGCTAATTGATAGCTAATTACGTTATTATAATCAAATTCATTTCCAACAGTCTGTCAGGCCGCAATAAATCTCCTCTGTTTAAGTTTATCTCAATTACGCAGTTACAATTAGGTGAAGTAAGTGATACCTGGGCCCTGTCTTACAAAGAGTTACGATTGATCCAAATCAATCGCAAGTCCTTCAATCAATCACAAGTTTGCAGTCTCCTATCTCGTTTGTACTTAGTTGCGATTGATATCAATCGCAAATAAGTTGCGATTAATATCAACTCTTTGTGAGACAGGGCCCTGGTAAGAATCTATTTCTTGAGTGCTTTTAGCGCCTTAGGGCAGCTGAGCTAAAGCCAGGATAATGATACTACTTTGTAGGCGCCATTGCCATCCCCTGAGACGGATACGTGCGCAATATATATGTAGCTATTACTATTATTACTAGTAGTATTAGTAGTAGTAGGAGAAGTAGTAGTAGTAGTAGAAGTAGTAGAAGTAGTAGTAGTAGTAGAAGTAGTAGAAGTAGTAGTAGAAGTAGTAGAAGTAGTAGTAGTAGTAGTAGTAGCAGTAGTAGTAGAAGTAGTAGAAGTAGTAGTAGAAGTAGTAGCAGTAGTAGTAGTAGTAGTAGTAGTAGTAGTAGTAGAAGTAGAGGTAGTAGTATTAGTAGTAGAAGCAGTAGTAGAAGTAGTAGTATTAGTAGTAGTAGAAGTAGTAGTATTAGTAGTAAGGGTAGTAGTAGTAGTGGTTGTGGTAGTGGTAGTAGTAGTAGGAGTAGTAGTAGTAGTAGTAGTAGTAGTAGTAGTAGTAGTAGTAGTATGTGTATTTATTATTATACACTTATATTCTATAAATATGTACCTGGCAATCAGCACCTGGCTTTTTAGATGTAGAAATATAGTATGTGGATTCCATTGTATTATATTCTTAAGTTATAATACTTTTTTTATCGAGTACAGTTACATCAAACTATGTACAATCTTGACAGAAATAATATACCTTTTGACTTGAAGAAGAAGTATATAAAAGATAATAGTATACATAAATACAACACTAGACAATTACATGATTATCACTTGCCAAAAAGCAGAACGTTTTTTCCAGCAAAAATATTTTTCACAGGACCAAATATTTGAAGTTCATTAGATAAAACATTCAAAGAAGCCACCCTTAACTGATTAATACCACTTGTTAAAAACTTTATATTGCATTCTGACATATATATTCTGTACATTATATATATATATATATATTAATTAATTATATGTTGTTTGTTGTTTTATTTTTTATTTTGCTTAGCTAAATCATGTAATGTAATCACAACAATTTTGTAACAATCAGGGGGCTACATGTTACTAGCTACAAGATTAGCTTCTCAGTAAACCCTTACAAATTTCATTACATTTGTTGTTTTAGTTCTCATTCTGTCATTGTTCTCTTTGTTTTCATCTTTTCGAATCAGTGTGAATTTGTTTTTGTTATAAACTCGATTAATTTTGTGGAATAACAATCTAAATGAATGAATGAATAAGTGAATAAATTAATGTTGGACCTTGCACCATTAAAAGCGCCTTTTCATGCCGTTAATGACACGGGTGAGATAAGGCCTTGGCTGATATTGACAGGGTAAATAAGGTTTTGGTCGTTTATTATTCCCAATGATTGCCTTCGGAAAAGTTCGAGTTCAATTTTTAGGAATAGAGTATCAATAATCTAAAGTAGAATAATGAAATATGTTGATAGTTAATTCATCCAAAAAGAAGCCGGTGTCCATGTTAAAGGGATTCTCGAGTTTCGGAAATGAGGGAAAAGAGATTTTCCATGAGAATCAAATGTTGGTGTGTCGTGGTCAAGTCGATACGTGGCTCACGGTTCGAGTCTCGCCGCGGCACTAATGTCCTTTGGCAAGACATTCTACATTTTCCACTCTCTATCCAGGTGATGTAAATGGGGTAAACCATGCAGGTAGAAAGAAATTCATGGAATGCCAGAGCGCTTTATCATTTCAGGATAGCTTGGCTAATGCCGGGGTAATAATAGTACCACGCTTGGAAAATAATATGATGTCATTATCATTTTTTTATTAATCTTAATTATAGTTTATCTATTGCATGATACTGGTTCGAGCAGCCATATAGTGCATGATCTATTACAGCTTTTTAAAATTATTTTCATCGAAATCGAATTCCATCAATATCATGATTATCAGAACTCAAGTTTAGCTTTAAATCATAATATTCTCATTTTATTACTGAAGTGGGTTACCAAGTTAAGCGCGGTACCCTTATTATCGTTGAAATATTAAGTCATATTTAACTTTTATTTTATGAGTAAACTATCCAGGTCACAAAGATAAGAATGGATGATTTATCACAAGTTAATTGCTAAGAAATATGCCGCTGTCAATTAATTTTGAGAATATGATTTTTTTTTCACAGGATATTATTATGAGGCCTACAGTTTATGGCAGTCATAAAACAAGTAAATATGTTTAAACTCAATATAACAAGAAAGTGTAAGATCAAGGAAATTGGACGGCTAACATACATTATATCTCAGGCACAGAAACATGGAAAACTGGAGCTCTGGAATTTCAGTGCTTTTAGCGAAAAATAAAAAAATCACTACCCCTTCTTCATTACCATCAGTGGTGGTGCTACATAAGACACGGGGGCGTTCGCCAAAATCAGATGGCGAAGAAAGAAAAATAAAGAGAAAAAAGGAGAAAAGGAGAGAGAACAGGAAGAAAGTGAGAGGAGACATGATAAAAACGACCCCACCACACCCGACCAACGGCTTTGTTAATCTGATTTTTTAAGCCATCGAAGAGACCAGGGTGCCCCCCTCTCAATTCCTGGTCGTATATAAGGTAGTACCACTAATTACTGCACCGATACCATTCTTGCTAGAATAACAATTCTCCAAAGCGTTTTGTATAACTCTATAAATGCCGACAATATCAACGTCAAGAATTCAGAGCCAGGTGTTACACGATTTTACTTTATGTCGACGATTCAGGAAGCTGAAGGGGCGCTGCCTCTTTTTTAAGAATAAGAGAATTTTTTTATTTTTGTATCATACCCCTCCCCATTCCCCAGCCCTCTTGGGCTGAGTGAGTATAGCGGAGAGCAGATGAAGTTTGAAAATCATTTTTCGGGGAGATAATGATGCCACAAAATATTTTTAAAACGACCCCACCCCCCCCCCTCTTGACGACCCTAGATCGACCGGCCCTTGTACATGGGGGGGGGGGGGGTAATAGAAGGACCAAAAAAGGGGGGAAACATGCACCCTCCTTTATTTTGTATGAATCCAACTACGAGAAGGAAGAAACACGAAATTGAACTGGAAGCCCGACTGCTGAGAACACAGCCATCTTCCAGAATCTCAGTCAAAGGTAAAGGTAAAGCCAATATCAATAAAGTTGAGTTCTGGTCATGCGATTGCATTGTGAAAGAAAAGGTGTGGAATGGATCAGAAAAAGTTGATCATGTAGCATGTAAGTATTGGTGTGTACTGCAAGGTTCTGCAAGGAGTCGTCAAAATCATAAAAGCACTGTACACAGAAAGATGTGTATGGGACTCCACTGGTGTCGGGGCTACTAACCTTGATTTCCTTATCTTTCTATGCTCATTACTCAGCCAGTATACGTTTTCTACCAAAATTGTTTGGCAAATCACATCTATTTGTACTCTTGAACATTCAGTGTTAGTTTCGTTTGATTCTGTGAGAATTTATTTTCTTTTTTTACCAGAACTCAAGTTTATCTTTAATGCAATCATTAAAAGGAAATGAAACCAATGTTTTCGTAAATGATAAAAATGTAAACGTAAATACCTAAATTAGACCACAGAGATGAGGTCAAATAGATAGTTTTTGATATTTCTAATTCTCATTGCTACATTGTCAATGTCACGTTAGCTCCGATTAACACAATATTAATTTTATCGGCAGAATATAAATATAAAGTTCAAAGGGGAAGATAAAATCCAAAACGGAAGTCTAAAGATTATATCTATTCAGCTACCATAGAACCATAAATATTGTCGTGCTTTCGTTTTCTAGTACTCTTTTCTAAAATGTAATAACGCTTGTTAATGGCGTAATGGCAAACACGGTAAATGCACAGCTTACGCATAACGCCGGAAGGGGCGTGGTATCACGTTCGCACTTTAAATCAAATCCATTTTCAATTGACGGACTGTCTGCTTTATAATGACCCTCTCATTGTTACCCTGCCAATGTCACGAGCAGAATTTCAACACGAAATCATAAAGTAAATTGCTTTTAAAGCTTGGAATAGGAGGCGGACCGTGACATTTTGTGAATACATCTCGGCATTGTTTGGAAATAAAATTTGTGAGAGAAGTAAATGGCTAAAAATGGCATAAGCGCCAATAGCATTATTACATTGTCAGTCACCATTAATATATGAAGACCGCCTCACACTATATACGATCTGACTACGATCAGATTTGGGAAGACTTTGCTATATAGCATTTGATACAAACTTTCAGACTTCTAAAATTATACTGATCAAGGATTTGAATACACCCGTACAAATTAGGTTTTTTTTTTTTCAAGAGAGGGGGGGGGGGGGGGGGGGGGGTGTTGATTAAAACAATAAATGGTGCTCCAATTATCCCCAATTTCTAGAATGATTTTGACACTGATTTATTCCTAATAGATCTAGATAATAGTATACATTCTGAGATGTTATTGAATAATAATTTGCGAGTGTTTATTTTGCGTGACTGCTAAAGCATGTGTATTTTACTATGTTTATCAACTAGGGGACCTACGTCCTTAAGTCATAACTGACGGTGATGAGGATTAATGCCTCACAAAAGAGCAGTACTATAGCTGATCGACACGGTTTTGATCCTTACAGCTACGAGGCCAATGCTTTGCCACTGAATCATGACTGTGCGCAGCGGGGGCTAGGGTAGGGGGCAGCCCCCACAAATTAAAAAAAACGAAGAATATGCAATAAACCATCAATAATTCATTGCATTTTTCCCCGGCCCCCAACAGGGAAACTTCCTCAGTACGGCCATGCATTATGGTTCAAGACATGCCCACAGTGTACACGTAGACAACAAAATAAAAAGATATTTAAAAGGTAAATATTAATTTTTTTTTAAAGTCGGTCTATTGGGCCTTCTGTCTCCTGTGGTTGGACTTAACTATGGCAGGCCGTTCATGCCACGGGTTGCTCTCACCATTTACTGGCATTGGTCTCTCAAGGGACATACAAATCATGGTCACAAATCTACAGAATTTAGATTTTTTGATAATTCATTAATGAAGCAAAAAATATTATCTAAAGATCATAATTGTGAGACAAATGGTGAGAGCAACCAGTGGCTTGAATGGCCTGTCATAGTTAAGTCCAATTTAAAGTCGATCTTATTCTTTGTGAAACAACCCCCCGAAAGTATCAAAGAAAAGTTGTCAGAAGGTCCTCAAAGGCTCAAACCCTGCACTTCGTTGACGGGAAAGTGTAGACAACATTGTAGTCAGGCATTTCGGTACCCCAGTTAAAAACGCCGATTTACAACTAACCGTGTCTTTATCCAACAGCGTGTACCCTGGATGTCCCTTCGGCGTATCATCCGTCGTGTTCGCCGTTGCGATGATGACCTCTGGTTCGATCGTCGTCGTCGCCATCACCGGCTTCGTGTTGGCGTTAACGAAGGCCACCCGCATCCAGCCAAATTGGTCCTGTGGATCGGAGTTATCGGAGCGCGCCTTGGCTACATGGTTTGAGACCCTGTTGGTCCCGATGGTGTCGGAGTGGGTGTGGAGGACGTAGAGCATGCAGAGCGAGACGACGAGGGAGTACCAGCAGATGACGAGGAGTGTGGCGTCACGGATCTACAGGAGGGAGGGAACAAAAATCAATTCAATACAGGGTCTTAAACAAACATTACGCACAAGACATGCCGTGCAGGACGTGACTCTGCTTTGCAGTAAACAAATCAAAAGACGCATCACTGTAAAATTGAAATAATAATAAAGCATGTAAAATATAATGAAATAGTTATATATGTATCATGAAATGAGTTACGTTGAGAGAAAGACAAGTTACGGTACAATCACACACATAGGAAGCCTGTTGTTTTAAAAAGAGGAAAAGACACTCGATTCATTATTATTATTATTATGACATTATTTGAATATTGATAACAAACATTTCAGAGGCCCAAAATCAACATTTTGAGGGAAATCTGATAAATAGCATAGGGGCTGATATATACATGGTGGAGATGTCCGCAGTTTGTAATTATTTTAATTTAAGGGAGAAAAAATTCTAATAACAGCAAAACAATTGAGACGGGCAGAAGAAGGGAAAGAGAAGGGAACGAGAAACTAGGAATTATAGAAATTTCAAGTATTTAACCTGATGGCTGAAAAGTTGTATGTTTAATTAGAATAAAAAGTAAATCTATGACTGAAATCCGAAGAAAGAAAAAATGTATCAAACGAAATGAAGGTTGCAGATATCCAGCATCGCTTCAAAGTAAACAAGTTTACTAAAATTCGACGAAATCTTACAAAAACTTTATTGTATTAGTTGCCCCTCTCGATCTCTTGTCCATGACTCGCTCTCAATTTCGGGCTTCGTTTCTTAGTTTTACTTTCTTTCTAACCTCTTTTTCAAATAAAACCTAGATTCTCTACAAATTCTGTTCTTAAATGCCATTTTACATGTAGCATGTACATAACGTTACACCAAGTGATGCCTAAGGCTAAGGCTGTATACCTGTCTAAACTAAAGCGTGGGTGAATAATAATGAAATTCGACCCTTCTCTCACGAAAAAGGTAATATGAGGCCTCATTTCAAACGGGTTGCCCTCGAGGGCCGTCCAGAAACGAGATAAATACCACGCAATATTGTGAGACATGGTGGTGTATTCAGATATTGAGAACCAGAAAGGGTCGGAATCCCCTTCAATGGGGATGAGGGGGGGGGGGGGCAGCCCCCGTGTGACGTCGACTTACTGCATGTATAGTATATGTAATTTCCATTGTTAGCTTGATTACAGGTGCATGCCACAACGCCCATTCACAACGCCCAGGGGGGGGGGGGGGCGTAACCCGGCTTTATCCTGTCTGGATACGCCACAGAACCACCCCACCCCACCCCACCCCCATAATTTCTTTAAATTTCAATAATTGACACGGAGAATGTGAATTAAGGACCCTTCTTTTCAGAGAACGTCCTAGTTTCAGGAAACCTCCAAACTAAAAAAACAATAATAACGACAATATAATAATAATATCGATATACAACAATAATACGAAAAACAGAAATGATAGAAATAGATATTACAATGGTGTACCATCGTAGATATATTTATTGTAAAATGGTTACAAGCTATTAAAGATATATATTCTTTGGAATACACCGTGCGCTGCATAACGGCTGCAAGTAAGGTCTTTATCCTAAGGAATCCGGACGCGCATAAAAGCATTATCAGTATTTCGTGAGAACACGGAATCAGTTACAATCACATCATGTTGATCACCACTGTCTACTCATCCTCCAAGTCAAAACTGATTAGTAGGAAGGAACACTAAACGTAATAAATATACGTAGTTCTATTCCCTACTAACTTAATACAATATTTTCTGATTATGATATATATTTTTACAGAAACTATTTACAGAAACTTAGAAACTTAGACTTTGTGATTATCTCGTTATTTATCGACTACAATCTGGCGTGTAACAGAATCAAAGCAATAAATTATGTCGTTAAAATATGGGAAAGAGTGATTTTACGACAGAAAAAAAATGTAGAAACTGAAAATCATGATTATCAGCTGCAATCTGTAAACCTGGCATGTTGATTTTTGAGGTGTGGCCCAAATGACCAATTCATCCCAGTGTATAATTATATTGGCAGGCAGCAATAGATTATCTTATTATGATAAAACAGTAAATTGTATACGACAACTGTAGTATTATATCTCTTAATTAAAGACTCTAAAGGCCATTACCACACCCTACGGCGGAATGACGTCATCATGACGATTTTAAAATAATGAGAATACGACATGAACATGACAATTAAATTGCAAACAAGAGAGTTCAAAATCCATGGCTTTGGGCCAATGATACAGGCGGAAGGCGACATGCATCGAAGTGATAATTCCCACGCAGAAAAATTAGCAATAGTATAGATGGCTGAGTCGAAAAACAGAATAGACTGATTGGTGATTTAATTAGCTCTTGGTAAGGAATATATCAACAGAGAAATAAAAAAGGTATATATTGTTTATCTCTTTTATATGAAGAGGCCTACAACCTTACTGAATACGTAAAGATATGTTAGCATGTGTTTATACCAGTCCTCAATTATTAACTCCGCAATGAACGGACGTTTTCGTAAGCAATCGCCAGACAGCATTGAATAAAACAAAACATAAATTGGATTATATCGAAAATCGAGAACTTACCCCCATTTTAGGTCCACACAGTGAGATTAGCTTTTTGATAGAATAATACTCCTCTAAAATATATGAATCAATATCCGCATCACATTCCGAAAAGGCATGCATGCAGTGAACTTGAAGACTGCTTCAATACTACGCACGTTGAAACGTATTGCTTCCTTTATGAGTGTCAAGATAGATAATGCATACAGGCGGTACCGCATTTGCGTCGATAATAATGACGTCACATTGTAAACGGACCACTCAAAGTTAATTTAGATAGACGCTGCGATAAGTGACCATTATTGCATTTAAACAAAATGTGCGTCAAGTTTTCCATGGTAGGGTTCACCTTACCTTTTAAATCCTAGTATGTAATTTAGTTGTTTTTTTTTTTTTGGTAAATACATTTATGATTTAGTTTCCTTTCATTTTCATCGCTTTTAATTATTCGTGGATTATAATGATAATAACATTGATAAACAACAACAGTATTAATAATGATAATAATCATACTAATCATACTAATAACAACAGGAACCACAACAATAACGAAGATGATGATAATGATACAAATAATAATAATAATAATAGCAACAATAATACAATTAATAATAATAATAATAATAGCAACAATAATACAATTACAAATAATAATAATAATAACAATTTAATAAAAAAATAGTAGTAATAATATGTCCATTATTTTATTTAATTAATAATCTCCTTTTTTCCCCTTCCTTTTTTATGAGGGGGGGGGGGGCGGGGCGGGTCTTATGCCCTTAGATTTGAAGCTTGGAAGTGGCAAATTCCGGTGTAGAAGGGGCACGAAATATTCGTGGACTGGGCAGCAAATAATGATAATTCCTGAATATTTTTACTATAGTTTTTCTTTCTCCTTTCATCTCATTTCTTCTTTTCATTTTCAATTACGTTCATACTTTCATGTTTGTCTTTTTCGACGGGGAACTGGAGTTGCAACGATTGTCCTTTTGGGCGTCCGTCTTTCAAAGAATTCATATCGAAAAGTACATATGACACAAAGAATACAGTCGATCGTGTATGCTGTATGTTGCCCAAGCAACCAGCAAGTGGTTTGTATATTCGCGATGTCCCTTCAGGGCCACCATAGGTTTGGACCTAGTTCGCAGACACACACCCTCACCTGTCGCTATGCGTAAAAGCGCCTGCACCGCGAGACTAGGCTGACGGCATACTGCATGGAGGCTCTGTAGTTTATGTGCAACGGACACAGCTGGAGACTGACAGAGCTAGGCTCTGCTCAAGGATTTAGGAATTATATTAAGGTGTCAAATTCGAGTCTCTGCCGGCAGACTAACAATACGTGTTAAGTAGGCCTATTTAGTTCGGTGTTAGGGCGGTGTCTTCCTATTTGCTCACATGCCTCTATGGTGAGATACTCAGCTGGACTTTGGTCTGTTTGAGTCAATCCAGCATGACCATTCATACAACTTATTTTAAAAACCAGAACACGGACATAACCCTGCCCTTGTGTACTTGCTTCTCTTCTTCCATGACAACATACTTAGTAATATTTGTTTAGTTTGTTTTACCCGACTCCTAAGAGCGCATATGTATGCTTGTAAGTAAGCAACCATGCAGGTACCCCCCTCCCCTAACCCCCACCCCCTCCCACTGGAGGGTCGGTGGGTCCGCATTCGTGTTCCCTAAATCTCCGGTAAAGGGGTACTTTTCACGCAACAAAGTCCGACCCGTAATACACAAATCCGGACCGTATTGACTGTACACACCGGAAATAGGGGCATGCTTTTAAAGGGAGGGAACATGCATACGCGTACCCTAAATAACACTGAGTGGGGGGGGGGGGGGGGGGGGGCAGGGGACCGACGGCTTTAGGTTCTCTCCGAGGACTAATCCATCACCAAAGGCCTTCTCTTGTTATTTTGTTTTATTAGTAATATTTATTGTAGTATGTATCTTGTGCTACAAAAATGTTGCGCATATATCAATATGAATATTGATGAAAATGCATGCCATATATGGTAATTTGCGTCGAGCGAGTCGTTTTTTGTGATTGTTATTAATAATGATATCAATAATATTCCGCATTTATATAGCGCCCAATACATCAATGATGTGTCTAAGCGCTTTTCAGACTTTTATTATTATTACCATGGTCATCGAATTCAGGCTCACCGGCACACAAATAAATATTTTTAACAAACTTGTTTTCCTTTTTCACGTATTTGGAACATTATATACATAATTGATAAACAACTGATGTATATATTTTTTTGTGAGCATAGTAAATATAGTAATACATGTACGTGCATTGTCAACTTACAGTGTATATAATTACATACCTTGTTTCCCTAATGTCTTATTACATGGTAAATCAAAAATAACATTTACATACAAAAAAGAATCACAATTCATTCAACTATTATTACACAAAATATTAAATTATAATGTGTTTTTTTTTAACTCGGACCAGGTTTTATAAGTAGGCCTACAGAAAAAAAAACAGAGAGACAAGACACTAACAGAACAAAAAACAGAAAACAAGAAACACTGAGGGGAAAAAAGAAAACAAAACAAACACAGTATGAAAAAATACAACAACAGCAAAGTAACAAAACAGACACCGTTTAGGATGGTTATGCCTGCATCCCTACATCATTTTTTCTTCTTCGAATTCCATATGTATATCATCGTTTATTTTTGCCACTATACTCTGTGTTGATCTATTTTGTTTTTCCTTTAGGCGATTTCCTCTTTGGTCGATTTGTACATGAATGGTTATATAGTGAACAAAGTAGTTTAATTTGGGAAAAGTGTTTTGTTACTTGCATCTTAATATAAAGTGCTTTTCAAGTAACACAATAACGTTAAACGTTTGTATGAATTTATGTTTGGGTTGTATATGGCACCGAGAAAGACGTTATCGCAAGAGTATAGAATCGTGAAATATCAGATGTCCTGTTCAGTTGTTTTCTATTAAAAGATTGAGCGCGCAATCTTTTTCTAGTATAGGAACAAGCCGCAAATTTCTTTAAAACGTTAATTAATCCATTCTCATATACCTTTCCTATTTGATTTCTCATTTTCCTTCTTCATCTTTTATTTCTTTGTCTGTTTTTCCTCATTTTTCCTATACCCCACAATAATTGAGCATACCCCGAATGAAATCAAAAGAATCATGGATGTACGATAAATTACATTTCATTTTATTATTATTTTTAGTAGGAAACCAAGGGACCGAAAGCTTTGAGGCTTTAAGTCCTCCTCAGTCCAGCAGCTCTAAACAAGGATTTGGGAAATACTAAGTAAATTCATATAACACATCCTTCTGTTCTCACACAATAGACTATAGATTCCAATTCGGTTGCATCAACATAAATCGACCAGTAGCATGATTATAAAAATATTAATTAAATTTTAGTTTCGTCGCCTTTTCAGTATCATTGAATGATAACTCCTACCGCAGTCATATGGCAAAACCGAATCCACAGCTATCGCAAACCGACCCATTCCTCCATTGTGTTATAATTTGTGCATTTGGTTTTGATTTGTGGTTTTGTAATCCTATTATTAGACCTATTCTATTGAATAAAAATATCAATTGATAACGAAAACTCGTGGCCATTAGGTGTTAATGAAATGTTTTGTTCGGTGCATTTTTGGTCTGGTATCGGTATCGTTAGTGTGACAGTGGGTATCACACACATCGGACATAAACTAATACGAACCAGTTGAGTATCATCAAATAGGCCTAGATGAAGATTGCAACTGAACCACAGGCGTTTACAATAGGCTAACTTTAAAGAGAAGGTTGAGTTCTGGGGAGAGGGGAAAATAATTTGTGAGCGTTATCATTGTTAATATGCAAGTGTGGAAGAACATCAGTGAAAAGAAAAATGTTCCCTGAAAAGCATGGCTCTTCAAATGCCTTCATATTCTAAATATGACAAGTAACAGTTTTAAAATGGGGCCCGATTTTTATGCCACATGTTTGTGTAGTCCCATATACATCTTTCTGTGTACAGTGCTTGTTACTTTACCAAAACTGGGCCAAATTTCTTATCATTTTGACGACTCCAAAACCTTTCAGTGCACAACAATGCTTATATGCTACATGATCAGCTTTATCTGGTCGATTCCACACCGTTTCTTTCACAATGCAATCGCATGACCAGATCTACTCAACTTTACCTTTAACCACGCGTTGGAATGTTATACTTTATACAATTATAGACGCAATGATATGCAAAGTACACACAACTAAGAAGACGCAATGTTGTACCAAAGTACATACAATTACAAATAATGCTTAACGTTGAACTTGGGGAAGTACTCGAGTGCTATGGACGCTGGAGAAGAATCACAAATGGGTACAGTACTTCATTGAAATGGTACAGTCTGTGCAGTCAAACCTGCTTTAGTGACAACCTGTCTACAAAGACCACATTTTTTTGTTTCCCTCGAAAATTGTTTCTCATTGGAACATGTACTAAATGCACCTGTCTACAAAGACCACTTTTTGTGTTTCCGTGGGCGGTCGCTATGGACAGGTTTGACTGTATATGCAGATGATACAGCAATACAGTTTCATGCCCCATGTTCACTTGTTTCAGGTTCAACCACGAGTTCTGCGCTCGCATCGTAGTGCATAATAATTGTATGACAACCATTTACATAAGAACACATACGCGATAATCAGTTTTCTTGAAACTTTCTTATCCAGTATTCAGACTTGAACTAAGGCCATGACAATTAATGTGAACTTGATACGAGCTCTGAAGATAAAATATCAGAATATTTATCTGGATACAATCTGGATCAACATGGACATAAATTTAATCTCCCACGTAGTGTGCTATCAAACCCGTGATAAATTGCGTTATTTGTAACACCTGTGGGGCATTACCTTTTAAAGGATTTATGCCAAGCCGATTTTTCAAACTTATCATTTCCTCTTTAAAACTACACAGTCAATGGCTTAATTTCCGCCCCTTGCAGCTTGCTATACTTATCTCCGATTATCTACTTGTACCCACTAGTGTATTTGAAAGGGGCAGGGGCAGTTTGCCCTCCCATCTCTGCACCCCCCCGCCCCACTTGAGATAGAAACTTGAAGACTGAAATTATGTAATTATGTTATGACGTGAACTAAATTTGAAATATCCTCAAACATAAAAATCAACGGATAGCA